CCCTGGCTGTCAGCAGGCGAGGGGTTCTCCTGGCGGCTGAGCTCCGTTTTTATGTGATCTGAGGGCCTTGGAGGAGAACGTGAACCCCCTTGAACTGGGGTTGGGGACTGAGGGCACAGGGGCCGTTCACCCACAGCCGGCAGGGCCGCCGCCCTACAGGTGTGCTTGCACCGAGGGACGCCCTTTCCTTCCCAGCTCACATCATAAAAAAATAAGCAGCAACTTAGTGGAAGCAGAAGAAACTCCACATTTAGCCTGGCCCATTGTGGAAGCGAGTAGCTGTCGAAGTTTAACCCCTTGGTGCGCTTCTGGTAACATTGCCACCTGCCTTTGGTATTTGTTTTGCTTGGCACAAAGTCTGAGCATAAGGGAGTGTGAGAAACTGCCAGGGAGCGCAAAAGAGGGCAACATACCTTCTGCAGAATGCAAAAATAAGCCATTTCCATCATCATGCATCATTATTTTATTTCAATTTTGCTTCATTCCAAAAATAATTAAGGGACATCACAACCAGCAGTAGGCACATTAGTGAGTTTTGCAGTTTGGGGCTCCAAAAAAGACCAGATGTCGTGCCAGGTGTCGTACAAGGACAGTCAGAAAGAGCCTCTGGTCTCCACAACTCTTGGCTTCAGAGCCAATTTCTTGTAAACATTCAGGGCCTCAGTCTGACTCAGTACATCTTGAAGTCAGTATCAAAACTGTAAGTAGATTAAAAGGAATGAAGATAAGGTAAAATGGGTAGGCTTCTAAATATTCCCTCCCTCCTCCAGAAGAACATTGAAAAAGATACATCATTCAAGAAGAAACATCCTTTCCCTTTTACTGATGGGAAACCAAGGCAGGAGAAGACTAAGTCACTTGTCCAAAGCTACTAAGGCAATCTGCGGTAGCACCAAGGAAACTGTATTCCTCCATTGTCCCAGTCCAACACCTTAACTATTCACTGTCCACCTCTGTTCTCACCTGACCCAATGCAACAAGAAGCATCATGGAAAGCATGGCTGAAATACTCTAGCATAGGAAGGATCGAGCACCATAGCCTCTGCAAGCTTCTGAGCAGTTTGAGTCAGTTCTGGTTGCTGTAGTTTATGATTTCTTTAGACTACCAAACCAGAACCACTCCCAGGTCAGCAAAGCAATCAAGATCATACTAAAGAGTTTAAAGCATTAAAAAACCCAAGATCGGGTCTTTGGAAATACAGCAAGTATCTGATCAGTTCAAGTCCTGCTTTGGACTGCAGTCAGAATCAGATGATGCACTGAATTGTCCCATCTGGATATCACAAACCACATGAACCTTGGCACAGCATCACCCAAGGGGGAGGAGGGTCTTCAATTTTGTGATGTTAATCACTGTTGTAGGGGCTTCTTGAAGAAGATACCCAGGTGTCTACATGCTAGTGTAGATCTCGGGAGGTGCTCCGGGCTTCAGCGGTCACTCTCCGAAATTTCTGCAGGTAGACCATGATGAGGATAACCAAGATACCTTGGAGAAAAAGGAGAATGAAGAGACAGAGCTGAGAGAGGAGAGCCAGGCTGCAGTACCAGTACTGGCATGTGGAGATGATCTCGTCTTCTGTCAGATAGGCAATGATCCGGTCCTGCAGGTGAGCTGGGGAGGTGCATCTCACATCCCTGTATAAGGTCCGGTTCTGCTGCCACTGGAGCCAGGAGCGCAAGTAGAGGATGTCACAGTTGCATTCCCAAGGGTTGCCCTGCAGGTAGACTACCTGGAGGCTATTTAGGTTGTCAAAGAGCCCATTGGGAATAGAGGTAAGCCTGTTGTAACCAAGGTGGATAATTTCAGCTGAAGGGCGGAAAGAAACTGGTAGTTCTGCGACAGTTAGGCCTTTTGACGTGCAGTCAATAATGTTGGTGGCACATTTGCATGGCATAGGGCATATGGGTATCACAAGTGGGAGGAAGCCAAGGAGAGACAAGAAGAGAATACCACTGTTCATCTTCACCTTCAAACACTCCCCTGGTGACACTGGATGAGGTGGAGACCAGGCAAGTAGACACCACACACTCTAGGACTGACACTACAGCCCAGGTCTTTTGTTGGTTTGTTCTGACGATGAATTTCTAAAGTTGGGTAAAGTTGGTGTCCTTCACAGGAGATGTGAGAGCTCTGAAAAGAACAGAGTTAAAAAGAGGTGTTGTGCAAATTCTTGGTCTCTCATTACAGGAGAGGGGATGTTCCCGGTCTTCCAACCCCGGATTTGAGGATGGATATGAACAAATGGCTACTGGGAGGCTTAGCAGCAGCCATTAATTCATTTTCACTAGTCCTCAGAAGCGTACAAGAGCTGTTTGTATTTTCAGCATTACTGGAGGCGCATTACTAGGGCAGCCAAGAAAATTTACATCAAGGAATCAAATATTAGAATATGAAACTGCTCATGCCTTATCATAGCTCTGAATTAAATCTGTAAGCAAAGCTTTGTTCATGCAAGCTGCAAGAGAGGATTCAGAAATAAATTTACTGTTACCACAAGTAAAAAATCGTTTTTCCAGTCTTGAAAAGAAGTGATAAACAGTCCTTGGCCAGCAGAGAAGGTGCTGACCACCAAGGGTGGAGGTTAGTGTGGAAAACTCCAGTAGACATTGTTCCAGCAGGTGAATGATCTCCTTCTGGAGCTGTGACCATGCTGGGAGACAAGGGTCAATGAGCTGTCTTTGTATTGCAGTCTCACACCACTGCTGAATGCATGAGCTGCTATGACTTCTTTAGGAGAACAACCACACATACCTGCAACAAGGCAGTGCTTTTCTGTGCAATCTATCAACCAAATAAAAAGAAAAAAGAACAGAAGGTAGTTTTGTTGACTTACCAGAGTAGTTCAATCCTTGCTTTCTTGCTGGTTCTACAACACAAGAGGAAGGTCTCAAGGCAGTCCAGCCAGTGCAGGAGTGTTTGCAGCTGCATAGCTGAGCTCCTACATAATCCCCTTGCAGCTGGCTGGCAAGATAAGGGTCAGGCTCATCCCAGGGACACCTCCCACATGAGGCCTTCCTGCAAGTTTGCTGCATGTCACCAGAAGCTGAGGCTTCATTGAACAAGTCTTCCAAGAAACGGGAGCTGACACTGCTCACAAGAATGTGTTTGCTGTGAGAGATGCTGACAATACTGATAACTGTGATTCTGGGCCCACATGCTCAGAAACATCACAAAGACCCAATTGCAAAGTAGTAACTCAAAATGCATTTCAACCTGGAAGTGACATTACTGATTTGTACCACACTCACTCAGCACTGTGGCCTTTGGTTTCCCATCTCATCAGGAAGACTACATTTGGCATAGTGGTGAGACCTAGCACTTCACAGTGTGCTGACCCTGAGGTTTCCCTTGAAGTGGTGACACAAATCTATTCCTAATTGGCAGTGGAAGATCTGCTGAAAGAAATGGACTTCCAGTGACCACACTGGTGTCAATAGTTGAGCCAAGGAGAAAGGTCCTCCAGGCACTTGCATCCTCTCATGATTGTTATAGGGGTAAAATGTAATTCTTGGCATTTCACTGTCTACATTAAAATTCACTAGTTAGATTCACAGGAAGAACGACAGACTGGGAAAGATAGTGCTCCAAGGGACTGCTCTTTTGATAGCCAAGTGAGGTGGCAGCTCTTGACGAGTGCAGCTTGCAGTTAGAGAAAGACTGACCACATCCTTTATTGAGAAGTTACATTATACAAATACTTGAACAGGTAAGTCCAAGGGTCAAAACTACATTAGGTAGAATCCTGTCTTCTCAAGGCCATCACACCTTCACAGACATTTTTCTGCCATCAGCCTGACTCTAGGCATTGGCTACGCTCCTTAAGACAAGGCCACCAGAACTACATTGCAGAACTGTTGCCCCATTGTGCCTAACTCTCCATTACCTTGTACTGTGCACATTGGACAGAGCAGAAATGATGAATGCCCTGAATATGCTGATGTTAAGAGAATTTAGGGTGTAAACAACAGCAGAATTTGGTGCTAGCCAAGTGAAAATCTCTGATGCTCTAAACAAAACAATTAAGCTTTAAATTTCTAGCAAGTTGGAGCAGATCATTCCAGTTGTTTCACTGTCGCAGGCAGGCAGAGTGGGAAAGAGATCTTAGGCTAACAAACCAACCCAGTTTTTCCAGCAGGGCCTGCTTTCCACTTGGGAGCAGCTTGACTACTGCAGGGTAAGGTTGCTCAGCAAACTTTCCTCATCTCATGCATTTGGTGGTACGTTTATTTGCAGGCAGGTGTTCAGGCCAGGTGTGGCATGGAGCTGATCTACAGCCAGACTCATTCTGGCTCTGCATGCAGCACAGACTCAGCAATGCTCCTTTGCCTATTTACAGACTGGATTTCCTGGGACTGGATCCTGCCCAGCTGCCCACTGCTGATTTAGACACCACTCCTAGGGGAAGCTTAAAGATAGAAGAACTTAAAGATCATCTTGTCTAGCTTCTGACATAAACCGTCCAGAAATCCCACACAGGAAGCCCTGCCTGGAGTCTGCTCTGACAGAATTAGACAAAAGGAGAAACAGCATCAGTTTTGTTCTCTCCTGCCCATAATGTATCACCAATGCTGCTCAAGGAGGCTGAAAATTAAACAGAAAGAGGTTGGTTTTTTGAATGTATTTATTTCACTGATCAATTCAGGTAGTAAACATTAATAATAATAATAACAATAATCATTTAATAAAATGGATATGTTTTAAAAGGTTTCATTTTTCTTTGTTCACAATGACAAAATGTTCAAACAGAAATTTACAAAAAAATATATATTATAATAACACAACAGATGGACAGGAAACAAAGAGCCTAGGAATGGAGCAGGGGGTGAGGAAGTCGTGTGGCAGGAGCAAGCCAGCGTTAAAGCACAGCAGAGTTTGTGAGGAGGAGCAGGGAATGCCATTGCAAACCACGAAGAGTGGGACCACCCTCCTTCTCTGGGGGGGGGGACATGCGGGGAGGCAGCAAGGACTGCACAGGCAGGACCAGCACAGCAGCAGCACAGAAGGAGTTCATGCCACGGCTCCATCCTCAGTCACGCACAAGGTCCAAGATGTTGTACCGACAGCCCCAGCTGCAGCCTGGGATGGCTCTGCGGAGTGGGACACCACCCCTGCAGTGACTCACTCAGCAGGGTAAAGCTTGGCAGAGGCGTGGGAATGTGCCTGGGGGTGCAGGGGTCGCATATGAGGCTGTGGAAGGTTGCGTGAGGGGAGGTGTTAAATTACTTTCCTATCCACACTTCTCACTGCCAGAGCCAAATGGCCAAGCAACATTTGTTCAGGAGTCTCTTCTCCGCTTACTGTGCAGCTCAATACAGCAGTACAAAACACTCCTCCTTCAACAAACAGATGCCACCTTCCAGGCCAGAGTCTGAATCCCTGGTGCCCCCCAAAGTCAGTCTCTAATCCTGTTCCAGGCAGCCCCCAAACTCTGGTGCTCTGGGTAGGAAACCTCCTACATAGAGACGTGATTTCAGCAGCACCAGTGCCCCTCTATAGAAGCCATCGCTGGTGCCTCGCTCCTCTGCGTTTTTTTTTAAGTGTAACTTGAACCCTCTTTGCCAGCTGGTAGCCAAAGGCTTCGGCTCTCTGTAGAGGACAGACTTGTGACTACCGACTTGATGTAGGAGCCATGTGCACTGAGCTGATGGAGACTTCCTCACCCAGAAGGACAGGGGCAGATTCACCTTCAGCAATCCTGCCTGCCTGTGACCAGCGTACCCTGTGCTCTCACCAGCACACAGCACTTCCACCACAGCCCAAGATAAAAGCCATCATCTCCTCTATGTTCATGCTAAAGGGTAAAGCTCTCCTTTATCTTCTAGGAATGAACCTGTTCGAAAATGGAACATCTCCATCTGGACAGGGCTCATTTGCAACAGAACATCCTCCTCACAGGCAAGGCTAGTGTAAGAAAAGAGGGGACAGGTACTGCAAGGTGTTTCCCATTATGCTAGCACGGATAAAGCTGAGAACTCAGCAGTCCTCCTGTTTCTGACAGCAGCAAACCAACTCCAGAAAACCTGAAGGAAGGTCCTGTTTCAGGCTACTCCACTGCCCAAGTAAGCACATCACACAAAGAAAGGTTGCATTTCCTCCTTAAGCACCTTGGCCCTGCATGTTATTGAAGACAAGATGAACCCTTTCCCTCTCCTAAGCTGGCACTGCCACTGTCACTTATGAGCCCAATACAGGGGAGAATGAAAGAAAAAAAAACCATTGTTGGACACTCCTCTTGGCAAGCTTGCACATTTCTGCCAAGGGGCTTCCACCCTCGCTTTGTCCTTCCACACTGTGCCAGAGTCTCTTCCCTGCCCCTACAGCCCCCATTCTGGCTAAGCAGAGTACAGTGAATAACTGGAACCAGCCAACCTACTCACCACCTAGACAAGCCCTGACCAGGACTCTAAAGCCCCACGAGGGAATCGGACAAATGCAGCAGCCAGAATTTAGGGCCTGGCTATTCCTGGCCAACACTGTGCTTCCTACTCAGGAACATCTACTGGGAGAGCCAGAGATGGAGGAGCAGATACAAAAGGGGAAAGGGGACATAGGAATCAGGCTGGGAGCCAGAGGAGCAGAAGGGCCCAGCCCATGGCAGCACTCCCTGGAGTCGGAGGCAAGAGCCAAGCGTCTCTCCCTCCAACAGCCCTGATTCCCTGTGAGCACGGCAGTGTTGCTGGTGAAGCCTGCCCTGTCAGGCACATCACACGCCGGGGCTCTGCTCTGGCTAGACTAAAGTTAAAAATACTGCAGGAAGCAAGAACAGGACAGAAGCTGCTGCCTAAAGAGTGCTCTTATCTCTGCCCAGCAGATCCACCAGCCTTCCCAGCACTGAGACAGGAAAAGCCTCGCACTAGGGAGGGGGAGAAGGGCTGAGTCCCAGGGGAAGGGCAGGGGGGCAAGTGCCAAGTCTGCTGGGCTGTGCTCAGCCCCATAGAGTGACACTCCTGCACCTACCTGGTTGACCCAACACCTGCCTGGACAGGCAGCTTGCAGATCTCTGGTACAAGCCTACAAAAACTGCCCCTTTCCCCAGAAGCTCAGAGCCAGCAATGCACTCGCGAGACCGCAAAGCCTGGGGGTAGAGCATAGCTCGGCATTTGTGGTTGGATTTCAGTCCTAGGGTTTCTAGCCCCTCCAAAGCAGTCCCAGTCAAGCACTCTTGCTGCCAAGGTGCTTTTCAGAGCAGACACTGGAGACACACTGCAGCTGGATGACCAGAGCTAAACTATGAGATACCTTCACCCAGCTACTGCAGGGCCCTGGGGGTCCTCTACCAACACCTCCAGCCTGCTGTGGGAGGAAACCATGCTGGGGAAGGTGCTCACTCCCATCATCTCCTCCTTGAAGGCAATATTCAACAACTCAACCTCTCTGCCAGAAAGACACAACTGAGAGCAGTAGAAGACGTTTTCTTTTAACCAAACTTGAGAGACTCAGTCCCTTGCTGCTCAGTCCAAAGATCCTGGAGTTTCTTGACAGGAAAAACAAAACCAACCAACTAAACAAAAAACCCCAGAAAAACCCTGGCAGGAAATCAGGCAACCAGCAGGACCCCTGAGCAGGTCAGTGCACAGAGAAACCCCCAGCCCCAGCTCTCTGGGCCAGAGCTGGCCCCAGCCTGAGTAGCCCAAGCAGCACAGGTCAAACTCACAGGAGGGTACGGCTGCCTTTACAATGCTTGTGCTGGCCCCAGACAAGGGGAACAGGGAGGGGGGCACAGCACCTCAGTTGGGAGTAAACATTTACGTGCATTGACACAGATAGTCTTCAAGTTCGTACACCAGAGAAACCAGGACGTTAAATACCAGAGCATTCCCAAACAAGAGATTAGTACATGGGAAAGGGAGATCTTTTTCTTTTCTTTTTTTCTTTTTTTAGGATGCCTTAGAGACTTCCCAGGCTATTTTCTTTTAAAAAAAAAAAGAAAAAAGAAAAAAGAAAAGAAAATAATTATTAAAAAAGAAAAATACACATCAGTAAACTGTTAAGTGAACAGCCTCCTCCACAATCTAGCTGACCGCAAAGCCAGCATTGCTGCTAATAAATTAGAGGGTGCGGGTACAGCTCTTGCCCACAAGTCTCTATACAACAGGAAACCTTTTCTAAACGTCCACAGCTCTTGCCAGGCCTCAGATGGTCACTGGGGAATTCCCTCTGCCCTCCGAGTACCTGCCTCTCACTGATCCTGCATCTGCTGCTGCATCTTCTGCAGCATCTCTTGCATCCGCCGTAACTGCATGAGACAGAGGAGAGAGAGTCATAAAGGGATCTGTTGTGGCTGAGAGCTGGTCATCTGCACTGGGGGCAATCCCTTGGAGCCGACAAAGATCCCTCAGAGAGTGTTAACTCCTGCCTGAGCACAGAGGCATCTGTGACTGGGGTGGAATGGAGCCACGTTTTCCTGACAGAGGAAGCCACAGCTTTCACACCTTGTCCTCCACGCCAGGAGCCCATGACAGTGGGAGGCAGGAGTGGGGAGCCCCAGGACAGACCCTATGGGGCAATCCTGGAGAAACTCCTCAGATTCCAGCTCCACGGAGGCCTAGGCAGAAATGCATCTTACCTCCTCATCCTTCATTTTGATCAGCTTCTCCGTCTCAGTGTCCGGTGTTGGGAGAGGCAGGATAGGAATTGGGCTCTCTATCCTGTTGTCCTGAGTCAGCTTGCTAGAGAAATGGAGAGAGGGGAGAAATGCAGTCAGTCGTGGTTCAGGCTGGCTGGCTTTGGTGTCACCACGCGATAGCTGTCACTCACGATGGCAGATTTGCCCACCACACAGCAGCATGCACCCAGCCAGGTGGAGGGGCTGTCGGGCAATCTAACCCAGAGGTGTGGGATGCACTTGGATGTAGAATGAGACCAAAGCCAATAAAAGTTTTCAAAATAGAAGCTTGTGGATAGCTAACACAGAAAATCCAAACCAGGCTTACACTGACAGAAAACACAGAAAGGGCTGATGTTTCTGACCACCTTTTGTAACGGCATTGGCAAGCTTAGCAGAGACATTTACAGACAAGTTATCTGGTCTCCTTTGGCTCATCTGTGCATGATGCTGTATATATTTGTAGGCACAATGCAAACTATCAGCATCCCTAAGGCACTGCATGCTCACCGTGTCCTTTTTTTTCCAGGAAGATAAAACCAGGGGAGCAGTTTAATCGCTGCAAGTCTGATTACAAAGCCTGCCCTCATATTCAGGAGGTGGGAGACACAACAGGCACAGCACAGCAGCATTGCGATGAGGGCTGGAGGTGCGCACGAGTGCAGACAGGGGACAGAGGAATTAGATGACTTTCTCCCAAAAGTCAGAGGAGCTCTCAGTAGGTGAAGACGGGGTGGCAGTGGCCAAAGATGCCTGGGCTGAAACTGGGAATTCAGGATGCTACTTGCAGGCGTTCACCACTTGGAGTCACCGTTGGCTCATTATTGAGTCAATTCCAGCCCTGGAGCTTGGGATCTCCTCCCAAAATGTCTCTCTAAAGGACCCTTATCACAGTGCTAGAAATGGCCACGTTCCGGTTTTATGAGACTTGTTCACTGGCAAGGAACTAGCCATGGTGTGAGAAACAGTACCAAACTTAAGCTTTTCTTAAGCAGAGCAACTGCTTTTTCATCATGCTCCTCTTTTAATAGATACGTAGTCTACCTAAATAGCAGCTGTGACACTTCTCACAGATCTCTAGCATTTAACACAGTTATTTTGGGACTCCATATTCTCACTGTTGAAAAAGACAGGCTCGTCTGCTATTCAAAAGTACTGAGATACACTCTGCGTGAACAAAATGTGCCAACGTGCACGTTTGCGCACATGCAGGACTGTTCCTTGGTGAAGCGCAGCCATTTCTGCTCTGCAACGTGGCAGCACAGAGCTACCCGGCCAATTCAGGCAGGACGTGAAGGGGATGGTTTACAACAGATGAGCTAAGGCCTTCTTAAACCTAAAACTTGTCACCAGTATTTCAGTCATGGAAGGGAGAAGGAAAAAAAAGAGGTTTCAAATGAGAAGCCCGTGAGTGTTCTGTCTTCTATTTTCTGATCATTGTGGCTAAAACCACAGAGAATCAAATGCAACAAAAAGACGATGCAGAGAAGTCTTTAGAGATGTGTTACGAGTCCTGCTAATTGCCTGGGCTCTGTTGTCTGAGAAACAGCAGCATCCCAAGGGTCATGCAGTCATTTGGACAGAACTGCAGACTGCTGAATGCCTTCCTCCTTGGCAATGCACACAGCTATCACCCACCAGAGAGATGGTTTATCCTCTGTTTCATTAAGCTGGATTTATTTCACCCAGTGCTAGGAACAGCTCTTCAAGATAATCTCCAGGCCTATTTCCCAAGATCTGCATGGGGAATCCTCAGACAGGAACACGGATTCTCAGAAGCATCCCCACCATGTGTTCAGGCTGTGGGAGACACACTTGGCTTTGCTATTTTACTTTCCAGTGCCATTCCCCAGGCTACAGCCCAGCATGTCCCCAGCAGACCCACTGCCTCCTGACTGACAAGCTGTTCAGAAAGCAACCCCAGCTCCGCAGAGTGACATCCCTACCACCTAGGGACCCACCTGGTCATTTGCTGGATGCACTGAGCTCGGTAGTTCTCATAGTGGACATCGCAAGTGACATCCTTCAGGTCATGCATGTGTGTCCGTATCAGCATGTTCCGCAGCTTCACAAAATCACAGTGTGCCTGGTTTTCCACTGTGGAAGCAACAACAGCAGAGTGCTTGGATGTCACACCTCACCAGCCCTCCCCAGGAAGCCTCTTCTCACCTCCCGGCACCCAGGCTGGACTAAAACTCCCCCCAGGGCTCCTTCCTCATCCTCCCCCCAAACTCCTCCGCCACTGTCTGGGGGTCTCCCTCAGCCTCAGCACAGGCTTCGATGATGCTCTGCGCTTCTCAACACTGAGGCCAGGCTGCTGAAGTCACTGTGTTCCTAAGACTTTCTCTGGGTAAGAGGATTAATTAAGCACCTACAGCAGAGCCTCGAAAAAGGATGCTGCTCCCAGGTACATGGGATGTCACTGTTATAACTTTAGTGAGTGCAGACAGTCCTGGAGGCAAACTGCTTGTCTCCTCAGAATTTACGACTGATCAAAAGGCCCCTGTAGGCAAAATCAGCCTCTGAGCAGCAAAGCCACAAGCAGGCAATGGTCTGAAGAACTGAAAGAGCTGCTGTTATCATAGGGAGCCAGGCTCCAGGAAGCACTGCAGGACTCTGCAAGGATGCGTCGAGCTCAGTAGCTGCGTGCCTGCCATGGTGACCTCCATTTACCTCTCTGCAGGGCTGGGGGAAGCCGTCTGTGTCAGGCCCAGGGTTTCACAAAGTTGATTCCACTGCTAAACGCCTGCATCCCAACAGGCACAGCCCTCTCTGGAGCCAGCAAGGGAGCAGAGCCAGCAGCTGGGCAGCCCAAGCAGCCGGCACCAGCCCACGAGTGCACACACAAGCTTTTGGGATCTGAAGCTGCAAGACCTTAAAGCAATGCACCAGCATGGGGGAGTCAGCAAAAGCAGCAAAAGCCATTCCAAGGTTATTCTACCTATGGGCTTTATGAAATTTCTGCCTTTAGAAAGGAAGAAAGTTAGAGACAAACATTGTGCGTCAGCACAGCCTCCAGCCCAGCAACTCCAGCACATACAGGAGCAGCAGCAGAGGAGGGAGTGCAGGAGGGTTTATGAATCAGTTTGGCTGAAGGCAATGGCTTCTCCCCAGAAACTAAACTGGCAATGCCCAGCCTCGCCCCTTAATAAGAAGCCATATCCTAGTGCATTAATGCCCAGGCATTCTTCCATTCACACTGGCACCTCTCTTCTTCAGTCTGTCATGGCTTCAGAGGCAGAGTGATTGCTGCACCCCCACTAACAGACGTCCTGAGCCAGTCCCAGTGCCTCTGTCTCTACCCTACTTTGTCCCCTGCCATGTGCCAAAGGTGGCACAGTCAGCCACTGCTGTGCAGAGGTGAGCCCTTCCCTGCCTGTCCTTCCCCCATCCCTGCCTGCCCCTCGCTCACAGTGCCAGCTCCCAGGGACCACGCTTACCTTCCACAATGCCCCACGGGTAGAGCCGTCCACGGACTCGCTGGCCTTTTGCCTCCACCACAGTGTTACTGCCAATGACGGCAAAGGGAGCGCTCTCCTGGAATGAGAGGCATCGCTGAGCCTGGCTCAGCCCCAGGCTGCCCACACATCCCTCCTCCAAGGGCCAAGCTCAGGTGGAGCGGAACAGGAGGAGGAAGGTGCTGGTAGGAAAGGCACAGGGACATCCACACGTGCCACAGCACAGGACACAAAAACTCAGTTGCAGAGAAAAGTCCAAGGCACTGGGATCTGCAGGCAGCCTAATTCCCAGCCTGACCTTCTCAGTTGTCCTGAGGGAGCCTGTGTCTCTGCAGATGCCTGCATCCCTTCTTTGAGGGGAAGCTCTACAAAGAAGCCAGAGCAGAGAGGCTGGGACACCAAGCAAGTGGGACAATGTAGGCCAAGAGCTTGTCCAGGCAGGGATGTACAGGCTGTGCTCCTCTCTGCTCAGAAGGGAGTCAAACCTCATTGCACCTCTCTGACAGGAGAAATAAGGCCATACTGCATGCACACGCAGGGCTGGCTCAGCCTGGGAGAGGGTCAGGCCTGGGCTGCTGGAGCCTCCAGACCGGCCTGCATGATCACTTTGTCTCACCCCATGCAACTAATTGTGCCACAGTTGTGCCTCATCACTCACAAATTGCTGCTCCTTGCTGATGGCATCCCTCAGCAATAGGTGCTTACAAATGCTGTACAATTCAGCCTTCATCTTAAACATACAGGCTGGGGTAGACTGAGGAAAGACTGACACTGCCTGGTAGGAGAGCTGAATGTCATGAAAGTCATGACACACTTGACTTCACGGCACCAGCAAGGACGTCAGCACCTTCTCCAGGCCATCTACCGTGTGACCCAATGTAGGCTGTCCACTGGGTACCAGTAGCACAGGCCTTTGGCACACATAGGGCAGCTCTGGCTCCTTCTGGAGCAACCAACATACC